GGACATCATGAGGAAGTCGTAGTTTCAATAGCGGCTGAAGACGGTCTGGATCAGGACGGATTTCGTTCCTTGTTATTACATATCCTAACAGATGGATTTTGTCTTGTGCAAAAGAGCATTTTTCCATGTTCAGAGTTAAGTTGTACTTCTTGGCTACATCAAAAAACTTTTTCAAATTTGTATCATGTTCATCTTTATTCCTCCCTCCAACTGTTACATCGTCCAGGTAAGCTACAGTGCATTCAAGTCCTTCTTTTTGTATAATCGAATCAATTTCTCTTTGGAAACAGGAGACGCCATTCGTAACACCAAAAGGAATTCTGCAAAATTGGTAAAGGCGCCCACAGGCTTCAAATGCTGTATATATTCGTTCTTCATTTTCAATTTGTATTTGATGGTAAGCACTCTTAAGGTCAATAGTGCTAAAAACACTGAACTTTGAAACTTTGTTAACGACATCTTCAACTCTGGGAAGCGGGTAGGCGTCAAGTTGAGTGAATCGATTTATTGTTTGGGAATAATCAATACACATTCGCTTCTTTTTTGTTTCACCTTTAACTACAAGTACTTGTGCTCTCCAAGGTGAAGTGCTTGGTTCAATGATACCCTCTTTCAACAAGCGTTCAGTTTTTTCTTTTATGAATTTCAAATCTTCTTCTGAATAACGTCGTGATTTAACTGCAATAGGTCTACAGTCAAGAGTTAAGTTTGAAAATAAGTGGACGGGTGCAACCTTAGCTGCTGTAAGTCCGCACACCTTTAGCGTAGGTTTCTTACCCCCAAATGAGACTTCAACGCTTGAGTGTTCCTTGAAAATGTCATGTCCTAAGACAACATCAGCGCATAAGCCGTCTAAAACAAGGAGTTTAGTTTTGTTGTAAATATGACCTTGAATCGACAAATCAACAAGACTGTAGCCAGCTGTAACTGGTTGATAAGAAGTAGAAGCCATAGCAACACTAACGGTGGTTGGAAAGATTGTTATTCCCCTCTTTTCTACTAGAGCTTTACTAATAAATGTTTCCGAACTACCAGTATCAACTAAGGCATCAGTTTTAATCCCATTTACTTCAATCGTAATAGTAGATTTAGATAAAGATTTAGGTGCAGCTGCACATGTAGCTGGATTTTTGTTAAAAGTTTTTTTAGAGTCAAATTTTGTAGGACGTAATGAATTACTTCCTGACTTACAAACCTTCATGAAATGTCCTTTCTTGCCACAAGAATGACAAATATGATTTGCAGCAGGACATTCACTTCTAGTATGTTTTTTACTGGAACCACAGAAATAACATTTCCAGGAAGTGGCTGATAAACAAGTTTCCTCTGCATTATTTGAGGACATGTTACTTTTGACAGATTCTGGTTCTGATGCAGTAGAATGTTGCATGCAATTTAATTGAGAATGTTGCTTGTTATAAGATTCTGATTGATACTGAGCTAATTCCAAAACTCTAGCTTTCTCAAAAGCCTCATTCAAAGTTAATGTTTTATTTTCTAGAAGTCTTTGTCGGATTACTGGGGAAATCAAACCTCTGATAAATGCATCACGAGTATAGTCATTTTTATTTTGTTCAGCAGAAACTTGGGAAAAATTACAAGGTTTACTTAAATCTTTCAAAGCTTGTAAATATTGGTCAACTGATTCCCCTGACTTCTGAAAACGAGTTGCTAGAAGATGGCTGGAATAAATCTCATTCTTAGGACGGATATAGAGTTCTTTTAAAATAGCTATAGCGTCATCAAATTTTGTAGCTCCAGAGATGTATTTGTAGACAGATGTACTAATGTGATTAACAAGTAAACGTAGTTTTACCTTTTCATTTGTTGCTTTAGAGTCACATTCCTCTAAGAAGTTAGTAAAAGTCTGGTACCAATGCAGCCATTGTTCTTCTGCACCATCACTCTCTGGCTCTACATCAAATCGGTCAGGCTTGAGGAGTTTGTCCATGACTTGTGAAAAGAGTTTATTAAATTGAAGTGCAAATAAAACTCATTATGAATTGACCTAAGGATAGGTTTTAATAAACTCTGAAGTCAAGTAAGATTTGTAACATACAAATACAAAATGTAAATAGTAAACAAAGAACAGCTGTGAGACAATAAAGAAACTCATAAATTAAATAAGGAACAATAACAGTTCATATGTATAAAAATATTATCACACAGCACCACAACACAATTGGAAGCGTTAAATCATCCTTAAGGAAAACAAAACAATGGTAGGAGTCCCACAGGGATCAATATTGGGTCCCTTGTACTTTTTTATTTATATTATTAGCCTACCAGAATCACTGAATCATAATCTGAAAACCATACTCTACGCAGACGACACAACAATAGTAATCCCTACAAAGTACCATGATAATAATAGCAACATAGTCAATTTAACCCTGGACGAGGCTACCTCTATCTGCAAGTCACTTCTCAAAACACCACAAAAACCGTTCACATAAGTTTTAAGCCAAACAACAGTAATAGAGCCGAAGAGGACTGGCAAGGATTGAAGATTCCCGTTACTGCATCAACCAAATTCTTGGGAGTTATTATAGACCAAAATTTGAATTGGCAAGATCACACCGAATATCTCTGCAAAAAAATTAACCACGGCTCACCACGTAATTAGGAGAATTAGAGCAATAACTGATGAAAATACTGCAATCCTGGCTTACCACACACTATTTTCTTCCCATCTGTGGTATGGAATCGTCGCCTGGGGATCCACCCAAGAGAAGAACATTGACCGTATTATGGTTCGACAAAATTAGACACTGAGAACAATATTGCGCCTTCAACCCTCAGAGCACTGCAAACCATTTTTTACCCCGCATAAAATCCTCACTGTCTATTCCCTCTATATCTTTGAAACCATAATCCTGGCCAGACAACGATCCCCAACCCTACGACAAGAGAAACACTCCTACAACACTCGCAACAAACACAACATTAACCTACCACAGCATAGACTTAAAAAACTCAACAAAACCCCAACCTATTCAGGCTCCTTTTTCTTCAATCTCTTGCCTCAAGACCTAAAAAAATCTACCACCAACTCACACCTTCAACATACAACTTAAACAATACCTTACTGATAGGCCCTACTACAAAATCTCAGACTTTGTGTCTGACCACACTTTCTCACGGCTTGCCTCATGAAGAAAGAAGACCCTGATACAGATAAAAATTGATGATTCCCCGATCGGCTGATTGCGGAGAAGACGCCGGATGTAAGATGTAAGATCTAATTTACATCTGTTGATTAGTTGACAGAATTAATGTAATAATACACTGTTTTTTCTTTCAATGTTATATAACTCTAAGTAAACCAGTAGCCAGTACTTTCCAGATGAATGTTTTGCTTCAACTTTAGATACCTCTACTTGCACAAATAAGATTACTAGGTATGTACTGCACTTTGGGGTGTTTAGCTAGCCTAGTGGTTAGCATCTTGGACTTTGGTGTCTGAGAGGGGTATCAATCCCCAGCACATCCGCAAAACTTTAAGGGGTTTGGACCACTTTCTCTTAAAAGCATTTAAATTGACTTCATTAAAAAATCCAACTGGCGTGGACACATAAAAAATCACTATGAAACAAGGACATCATAAAACACATGAAACCATGAACTTTGGCGGAGGATTGATTAAATAATAATTATGGCTTTATTAGTGACTAAGACCAAAAGTTTTATTAGTCACCAAGTTCATTAGGTCTAATTAGAATCCCATAGATAACACCATCTAGGTTTAGTTTTGTGTTTTAGAAAATATAGACTTCATAACTGTTACATGTATTATGATTGTGAGCCTTATTAACAATTAGCTGGCATGGCAATTTACAAAACACTACAAGATGCAAATAAATATAATCTGTTTTGTAGAAATTCCCTTTAAAAACCAAAAACAATGGCCTGCCTCTTAACTACTGAGAATACAATAAGTACTTACAACTGGTAAAACCAACAGTACAAGAGAGTGAATGGAATCGCAAGTTCTACAGTCGCAATGGCTCCAGCGACAGACATCTTTTGTACTCAACACTTAACACCTTTAAAACATAAAGACGGTATACCATCACCAATACAATACCACTGATAAGAACCAGCTGAGTGTTTATTTGCTGATAACGCAACTTGCCAAGTGGCCCAGTCATGCAAAGTGTGACCCAGACCCAGTAGTAGCAAAGCTCAAGTGATAACTAGTAAGTCAGATGATGACAAAAAACTGTGTCTGGTAGTTTGTTCAGTTGGGCTACATTCTGGAAAGTACTGCCTTGTTTACATGGTTAGTTATTCATAGATTAGACATTCCTTGTCACAGATTTGTTATCCTTACAGATCAGCTTATCATTTGAACTCTGAAACATGTGTTTGGCCTGTATGTAGAATGTATTATGATGACAAAAATTAGTTGTAAATTTAACACCCCTTTATAGAAGTTCCCGGTTTGAATTTATCAAATGATAGGCAGGGGTGGCTCCAGGGATAATTCTTTGGGTAGGCCTGACAAGGATCAAGAAGGAGTTTGTTCGGGGGACGAGAGGTTTGTGGGGCTTCCCCGCAAAAGGGGATAATTATAAATTTTATTTGCAAAATAATGAGTTTGAATGCTTTCCATTTATTTACATTTAATTACATTTCTTTATAATTTTGAAATATCTACTAAAATTTTGGGTAGGCCCGGGCCTACCTGGCCTGCCCTCTGGAGCCGCCTCTGATGATAGGGATAAAAAATTAATATCAATAAAACAGGCATTTTGATGACGAAATATTGAAGACACAGTTTAAACATTACTGCTACAACGTAACTTACTAAAACTGCACTATTTACTAGAACACCAAACCTTTCAAATGCATTGGAAAATTAAGCTGGATTCATGTTAAGACTAAGTACCGTAGCCTAATAGTGGTTTGGTTAAATGCAAACTATTTACAAAAGGTTTTAAAGTTTCTTTTTAAAAAGCAAGTCAAAATATAATAAGAAAAAACAGACTAAATCTTACCGTCTGATGAATCTTCTTTTGAAAAATATATTCATGTTTCTATGATGAGGCAGGTATGTCCCGCTGAAGAATCGGTGGCCGCGCCTGGAAAATATGATGTTCAGTTGGACTAATTAACCTAAAATACAACATCATATATGGCTAAATTGCAACCATTATTGTGTACACAGGCCTATGTTTAAACAGTTGTTACATCAAAGTGAAGACAATTATGTGGTTTTTGTATTAAAAATACTGTAAATATAACAAATTTTAAGAAGACTATAGTGAAACTAAATTCAATAGAAAAAATTTGAACACACCAAAAATTAAGAAATGAAAAAAAACATATAGGCCTACCGGTACTTGTTTTACTTTTAAACAATTTTTTTAAAGATAGCCAAATATACAAGTTAGCTTACGTGTGTTTAAAGTGTGGTGGCACTAAGGTGCTTTTGAGACAAAATGGGTACTTCAGTATTACTATTAAACGGAGGCCACCATTACGAAACGCGCCGCGGCACTTATAGAGGGTTAAATTGTTATAGATGTTGTAGTAGAACTATTCTAGTATTGTTGTGAGTCGAGCGTTATCAGATGAGTCATGTGTCTACTCGCAGAATCCCCTCCAAGTAGGCCAAGGTCAGGGTCGTTGACCGGAGCGCGCGCCATTACCTGTCATCGCCTGTCACTGTGTCTGAAACGGAGGCCACATTTTGTCAGCGCGCTGCGGCGGTTATGTTAGGTTGGGTTATCATAATAGAAAGTATAACTCGTCTGGTATTGTTCGATTCATATGATAACCCAACCTAACATAACCGCCGCAGCGCGCTGACAAAATGTGGCCTACCGACATTTCTGCGTTCTGGGTTGCACAACGTCAGAACCAGGCGTCGGATTAATTCTAAACTTCACCTGTTAATCTATTAAAGTGTGTTCTTTCCAAGTATGTAGTTATTTTTGGTATCCGGTTCGAAATATTTCTGTAGGTTAGGTGGCCTCCGTTTAATACTGAAGTACCACAAAATGTTACATAGGCCTACTGTTTAAAAAATTCACAGTACACACAACACTTAAAAGCACTTAGGCCTAAGCTTTCACATACAATCTACTTAAGCTTATTGTGATTGTTACAGCAAGCTATTAAACTGTAATTTATTTTCATATAATGATCATTTACTTTTTGCTCGATCGTAAGGCCTAAACCTGCACATAAGCTAACCCTTAAAATCCCTTGGAAAATCCAGTGATTTATCAATGTCTATTTTTGTTATATTCATACTAGCCTACTCATCTTATGTTTTACAACAATTTTTTTGGTGGACACAGTTACAAATAAGCGAGAAGTAGAAAAATGCCTAAGAATCCATTCATCCTATTAAATTTCCCCTAAGCCGTCCACCAAATATTATAGGTAGGCCTCTCTGCCACAGACAGGCAGGTGAGGAGTTCTCATGAGTTGCGCAGCAGACCTATCCGAGACAGGAGTCAACCCCTAAATCTACAGTGTTGTCTCTTGGCCAGAGAAACAACTCCTTGGACTGGCCCAATGATTGATAAGATAAGACCATGCATTGTTCGGTGTTAATAACAATAGTCAACCAAAAAGCTAAGCAAAATATATTCAAACATGAATCTGAAGTAGCAGCATATGTCAGGTTAACTTAACCAAACTTAATAGACAATAGTAATTTATTCATCGTTCAGTAATTACACAATTGCAATGGATTTTGTCAATAAGAATATATAAATTAAATAGAGGCTAATTTTTAAAATCTAGATCATTGCTTATGAATTTAACATAAAAAAATAATTTATATCGTCTCGGAGTAATAAAACAAAATTATGTTTTATTACTCTGAGATATCGTTGTGTAAATGGCATTGCCGTGGAAAATAAAAATGAAAATGAAAATATCGTACATTGGATTGATTTTACACCACATTGACAGTTTGTTAGAGGATACATTTAAAGGCAAAGAGCTGAAATCAACAGGAAAATTATTAAATACTTTAAGACCCAAGTAGGTACGATAGGTAATTCTGAGTTCTTGACAGCGTTACTCTATCTAAATCGAATGTACCCCTATTTCTTGTTTCGTAGTTATGGACACTATCTCTACCTAGTTTTTTTTAACGAAAATAGACACTTCATATATGTACAGACTACTAATTACTGTTAATATATCAGATTCTACAAACGGTGGCTTGTCTAGTTTTCTTCTACCAGTTACAATCCTTATCGCCTTCTTCTGTACCTTCAAAACGTCTGTGATTCCTACTCCATTTCTCCAAATAACAATGCCATATCTAATAATGCTTTCAAAGAATGCAAAGTATAGGCTAAGTTTAGATGTTTTAAGTGTCTGTTACTTGATTTCTTAAATTACTTAGTAGGCAAACCACTCTAGATAATCAAGCACAAATAGAGAATATATGCTGCTGCCAAGATAGCCTACTATCAATATGTATACCAGGCCTAGGCCTAGTTAACTTGGCATAACCAAACTTCGATATAAACCAAATATAGATTGAAAAAAATGATTAATACGATGGAGTCAGTTATCAAGGTTTTGTCCTCAGTAGGCTATCCTCGTACCTGATCAAGTTAAGCCCAATTAAGGCCAAACCAAAATTTACACTTAGCCCAGTCCAACCTTAAGTTAGGGCTAAACAAATATTGAATATAAAAGTTATCAACACTGTTTTAGAGAAACTTTTGTGTACAATATAACTTCTAAACTATGAAACCATGCCTAAATTACTAACTAGCTTGTAAATAATGTAAAAACAACTTCATTGGCTAGGTCGAGGGTACGGTACACTTCCCTATCTGTTGGCACAAACAACCAAATGAAAATATCGATCTATACATTGATTATTCGATATATCGTTTGGTTAGTTAGGTAAGGTTAACCTAACCTAACTATTTAGGTAAGGTTAACATAACCTAACTAACCAAACGATATATCGATTTAAACAATTAAATAATCAATATTACTCATTAGGTTGTTTGTGCCAACAGATATGGAAGTGTACCCTAGGTCGACATAAACAAGCATAACTTTTAACTTACAAGACTAAGTTAGGCCTAGCTACCCTACAGCGTGTAATTATTTTCAGCATGAAAACATAATTTGTTGATAATTATATCGCCCAGTAAGCCTACTCATTAAGTTTATAAAATTACAGATTTTCACTTTAACTTTTATTATAGAAAATATTAAAAAACTGAATCTTTGTCTACCGTTTCCCACGAACATCACTCCCCAGTATTGGTCTGTCAACTAGTGCTTCAGCCAATCCATCCATGAAAAATCAATTTCTTAAAACGGATGCTTTCAAATTAACCTCTCTCTTTTCTCAGAAATAATTTCATCAACATGAAATAAATTTGTTGCTATTCAGTTGATATTAGCTCACGATCATGATCATAGAAAACTTCTGAACTGAACTTGAATCTTGAATTGAACTAAATGCAGACATTGCAGACGACAAAAGTTAAAGTTAAAGCCAATCCCCCTGACATGACATCTTGAGGAAAAGAAGAACGTCTTGCGAACAGCTGTTAAGCTCTTGTTTAAACCAGCTGTTGTAATAATTTCTTGTCTAGCTGAATGGGGAAGAGAGATATTGGGCAATAATAATTATTATAAATAGATCGAGTTTTTGTTTTAATTAAATACAACGTTTTAGCATTGACTATTGGATACAGAAGTTGTTGTATTAATAATCAAAGGTTTTAGACTACTGGAATTAAAAGTAAAAGAAAAAGTATCTTACCACAGTGAGTATAGGATGCTTTATGTGATCATCCAAATAAATCAAATTAAATACTTGATAGCTCGAAATACATTTAAAAAAATATTATTTCATTTAAGTAAAACTAAATTAAATATAAATGTAGCATTAAAGTTTTTAAAATGAAAACCACTTCGACCTCCTCTATTGCAACAGTGTGTCAGCACTTGAAGTATGACACCCTAACTCATAGACCTAAGCACTGCTGAAACTAGGACGTCATCGTCACCCGTAAGGCGACTATGAATAAACTGTTGAAGGTCTTCCCAACAGACCTTGGGTCAAGGTAAGCGTGGGGCTCGATTCACGTCGCTAATGTTAATGGCTTGTAACTTTAATGGGTTATAGTATTTTTCCATTTTTGTGTAAAAGTATTTTTTAGTGAGTCCATGATTCAACACACGTCCAAACGTCGTATATGTTCATTTCATGGGCTACTTACATGTACGTTAATGTTATTAATCACGAAAATTTATTAATTATAGTTGTCATTGGTTTACTACGCAATCCGTTAAAACCCTTGTACCTACATAAATATAGTTTTGGAACATATGATTAAGTTTGTAATGTTTCTTCTGTTATAAATAAAATATCTTTAATGATGGAAAATGATGTATTCAATTTTTAATTAATGATTAAATGATCAACACTACACTGGTGTTAGGGTGTTAGTTCCGGTTTCGGGATATCATAAATGACGACAGAAATTAAAAATAACATTGAATCAATAATACAGTACGTCTCTCATTTTACATTACATTAAATACACTATATTGCCTTATAATAGCTCAAGCTATAGTCTGTTTAGTTTGACCCAATAAATCTATGGATATTCCTAGTTAAATGATCTATAACAACAATGTTGTGCCAGCCCGTACAGATTAAAAGATTATCTTTCTGTTTTGTCGTGTTGTCGTTAAATCAAAGCAGAAGGCCCGACGTGTGGCGAGTAACTGGTATTTACATTCACGTTAAGTGATTAACGGGGGTTGAATAAGATGTAAGGTTTATGATTATTTATTATTTATTTCTATAATTTAAGGGGGTAATTCCGCCTTTCCCCAGCCCACATAGACCCGCCACTGCGTTAACAACAACAGTTTTTATTTTATTTTACCTGTATTTATGAGAGTGATCCGGCGTTAATGTTTGAACATTACACGTTCCAAAGATCATAAAAAGTTTTGCTATCTGATGATTATGTACAACACCTAAATTTCACTCATATGACACCTAAATTTTAGGACGGGAGACACGTTACACGTTTGCTAATTTTTAAATTTGACATTTAGATAGATTTAAGATTAATCGATTATGAATGTGTGCATTGCACACTTAGGTGAGTAATTACTCAGAAATGTAGTTTAAACGACACAACAACTAACAAATTAATTTCTTCAGTTTTGCGCCCGTACCAGGTCTATCAAACAGATTTTAAGGAAATAAAATTAAAACGATCCTGTTCGAAGTGACATTTTGTCTATTTACTAATATCTCAATATCTCTGGTGTTAGATAACACGTTACCTGAAACTGACAGTAGTCCAGCCTAGATCATGTCACCAACCACTGCCTACTGGATATCGTCTGCAACTTGTCGCCGTTTCCAGTTTCCCAACATCAGCTTGAGTGGGGCAACTGTAGGCCAGTTGCCGGGTCCACTACTTGCTCAATAGTCTTGGCCTGACTCCTACATCGAGAACTGACCGGTGGAAACTACATACATGCGTCCGAGTTGCAATTTCACAACTAAGCAGCAAACACAAGGAACCGAGTCGCGGCGGATGTATACCATATTTATTCTGTTCTCTCTGATGTATACCTTGCATAGTCGTCTGTACGCTGTTCAAGTATACATCTTGTATTAATTTGACTGTATGTAAAAAAGAGTTATCGTGTAGAACATGTGCCATAAAAAGGTATATTAAAAAAATCTTAATCTGTCCATTATGGTGTATTGTTGGGTAATGAATTCTACATGTATATTGGGTTCCGCATTCTATCGTACCTAATTTAAAAATCCTAGTCTATATTTTGTTCGTTATGTGCACGAGCCTTTCCCACCATGTACAGGTTACATAACAATATAATAATTTGCTACTGCAATGTCTCATTACTGTAGATAGTGTTAGTAGCCATAGATGTTTTTATAATTAGTTACAACTATACGCTCAATTATGTTCAAATATTTCTAAAAATTGAAATAGTAACGAAGCCCTTTTTGTTTAAGTCCGTTCCGTACCAATTTCAACTTTTTATTGGTACAATTGGAACTTTCACATCTTTAAAGGATTGACATTGTGTATGGATCGGCTACAATTTATCGCTAAACTGTAAATAGGTAGCTGTTATGTATTGATGTTGCGAATATTTTTATATAAGCGAGGTTTCGTATTAATGCGACCAAGCATAGCGATGCAGGTAATTAACTTAACTCATTAGTGAATATCTCGTTGTTGCACTTCAGAATTAACTATCTTCGGAAAACTTACACTCATACCGGAAACGGATGTTCAGTTCCCGCCTCATTCTCCCTTCATATCCGGTTGCAAAGTCGCCGATGTCTTGTTATCAGTAGTTTCCGATGTCGCGTAACCGCTAGCGCTCCCTGCGGTGGTGTGCAACAACATTCCTACACGTTGGAGTGGAGTAGAAAGACTATTAAACCTTTTGACTGTTGATATTCAGTATCCAATGAATAGTCAATGATTAAACTGCTGGTCTTAAATAAAATAGGAAACTATCATAAAATGTGGATGCTCTTTGTCACAGTCATTGGTGCAATGGTCAAAAGCAGATTTTAATAATAACACACGCTATACTCGTCTTATGATTGTATGTAAAGAGTTATCGCGTAGTTAGTATCTGTAACTTAAATGTATATTAAATCATTCTGAATTTGGCCATACGTAATTTTTTTAAGTATTTTTTTTTCTAGCACCGATGAAATTGCATCTACCACTCTATGGAACTGCTGCACTCAAGATTGTCAAGTTCTAAAACCAAATTGGTGATTTGGTATTGCGTTACAATGCTTAACAATATCTTGTAAACGAATTCAAAGTATTTTTTACAACAATTTTGACAATACAGACAGTAAGCTAATTGGTCTCTAGGAGACTTGGTCGGCTGGCTTTTATGGTTTGTATATCATAGTCTAATAGTTTGATAAAAATAAAAATGCTCTTATTATGCTCTCACAGATTAGTGTATTATTTTTATTTCTAGTACATTAATATTTTTTTAGAATTTAACAGTTACCGTGGTGAGTTTCCTCTAATCCAAATTTGCAGGGATACTTATGATTTCGATTTGTCTCATAAAAAAATGGTGCTAATGCTGAAAACCGTGAAAAAGGGAATCTATATAATTAATACGCTACATGAAACTTTGTCGGTTGAACTCCTCCGCCATTTCTTAACCGATTTTATCCATTGACATCTCATTGGAAAGAGCGTGTTGCGTAGATTTGCAAACTGACCTTACATTTTTTTTAAGTCCCTTGGGCTCTGCCCCAGTGGCTGTTTAAGTTCCCATGTTATCCTTATTAAGATAATAATTGTTTCCATTTTGATCAACTGTATAATTTAATTGCTGTTATTTATTTTTCAATTCAACGAAACGCATTGGGTACATTAACTGATTTTGTTTAAATTAAATCTATACTATTATATACAAATCTAGTTGTGTCTGTCTGTATGTTTGTTACTAATAGGTGCATAAACTACTGAACTGACTGGGCTTAAATTATACAAAAATATAGCTACCATACCAAGGACCTTTATAGGACTATTCACCATAGGACTTCGATACTGACCGTGGGCTTTGCCCCTTTGGCTTTAAAAGTTCTGAGGTGAGGATTTTAAATGTAAATATTGATTGGTGGTAAACAAGCTGAACTGTCGAAGCACATTAACTTAATTATTAATTCACAATTCCATAGCTGGTTTATAAATAGGCAGAGGTTTATTCTCTCCTATAATATTCTCTACAATCATGTGACATGATTATTTATTCGTACATTTGATGGTTCATTGATTATTGATTTTATGAAATAAGTGAGATTGTATATCTGTTGCTGAATCTAACCCTAATTAATTATTTAAAATTTCGCTAATGTGAATTGTATTGAAAGATTTTGGTGTAAAAAATTGTGAAATGATAAAGTTCACATTTACTTGAATCATTTTAACATTTTTGAAAAATTAACATGTGTTTAGAGTAGGGCACACACCTTTAAAATTGACACTTTTTCTCATGGAGATAATTAATTGTATATTTTTGCCATTTTGAGAGAAATATTGTTAACACCATTTGCCTTTTCACAAATTTTTAAATCATAATTTCATATTACTGTACTACCCATAGGAATTACTAAGATTACTTATAGAGAGTGGGGGGAGAGGGAGCCTGAAGTGAAGACAAAACATTTTGGTACCTATATTTCACTCCATCGAGGATACAGGTAGAGCAGCGTCCGGTAGAGGTACCTAACTTGGAAAGTCAGGGGAACTGCGTTTAGAACCTATTTACTCAAGGACAATTTTAGTTGATTTTCAAACTAGTTTTAAGGAAAAACAAGTATATATAATATTAATTTTAGTATTTTTGTTCTGAATTATCAAGAATATGTCAGGTGGTGGAGTAATTTATGAAAGTGCGGTCATACCTATAATTTAATAACTCTTTAATTCCAGAAAAATTATCAGACAAAAAATGACTGGCACCAGTTGATATTTAAAACGGCTTAGATAAATTTTTTTGTCATTGTGGAAACCGTTTTCTGGGATCTATTTCTTCAAAGAAAACGTGTCAAATTTTTTAAACAGACAAACCATAATATTAATGTTGGCTATATTGCTCTCCAAAGTGTGAACGGGAACCGAAAGGATATGTGCAGTTATGGTCAATATACTCGACGTTCTCTAGGCTAAGAATTCAAGGAAAATGTTCAACCTAAAAATTAAGTAGGTAGTATACTGATTAACATTTATTTAGCTTTGGGTCAAATTTATTATTGAAGATGGCGATTTCCTTGTCCGTCTATGTACCTCACTTTGGCCAAACATATGTTTCACTCTACAAAATACATCTAACAAGTTGCTTATAGAATATGGTTATCGAATCAAGTTGAACAGAATAATTTTTTATGTTTATCTCCACTTTTCAGGGCCATATTTAGAATCTATGAGGCCCCCTACGACACTCACCAGAGAGGTCCCTCTATTCTGATTCTTTAAAGGTTGGAGCTTAAGGGTTTAGAAATACACGTGGTATTGCTTTAACTCGATCAATTGACCTTTTGTTTCCTACAATCTGATCGAAAGAGACCTAGGAGACTGGCACTTAAAGAGTCTCAAACTTTCAAAAGTGCTTTATCTTCTAAGGAAACTTAGGGATTTAATAACTCAACCATACCTTATTTACATCAATGTATCATGCACTCTTCCATAGTCTTTTGATGTATGGATTGATGGGGACATTCTCTTGCTACAAGGGATGTTCTCTTACTCCAAAAGATGGTACTCAAAGTCATCACATCATCTCTGGGTTTAATTATCATTGCCGGCCTATCTTTAGAGAACTGAATATCCTCACAGTATACAGTTTACAACATACTCATACTCCTTAAAGAGAATATAGGGATGACTTAATGAGAAGGGAAGATCGCCAAAACAACAGCACTTAAGGAGCTCAAGAGACCTTCCGCGCTGTCGACTCGAACCCTCGATCGGCCATAAGAATTTTCAATACACTACCGTTGCAAGAATACAAGCAGTAATCAAGCCCGGCCACCTTTAATACAGGCCGTGGCCTTCGAAAAGACAACGTCGCAAGTAGGGTTGTAACAGCTGTTTTGTTTGGAAGCAGCTAATGGTATTGTGTTTACGAAAGCTTGGTTATTGGACTATGCGAAGAGCTGGTTTGCCGCCAGGGCTCAAGGTGAATGAGGACAAGACACAGACCATCCTGTGTACCCTTAAACCTGCTGTGGAAGATGAGGCTGTAAAACTCCTGGGTTTCTGGCTCGACCCCAGGTTAAATTGGAGGCATAACATAGACAAGGTATGTGTAAGACTATCTAGAGTTATTTACCTACTAAGAAGACTTCGCCCTACAATTAGTCAACCCTCTCTGCTGATGGTCTATCACGCCCTCTTCCACAGCCATGTGTCATGCGGCCTTGTCCTATGGGGCCATTCTAAAGCAGCCCATGAGACCTGCTGTGGAAGATAAGGCTGTAAAACTCCTGGGTTTCTGGCTCGACCCCAGGTTAAATTGGAGGCATAACATAGACAAGGTATGTGTAAGACTATCTAGAGTTATTTACCTACTAAGAAGACTTCGCCCTACATTAAGTCAACCCTCTCTGCTGATGGTCTATCACGCCCTCTTCCACAGCCACGTGTCATACGGCCTTGTCCTATGGGGCCATTCTAAAGCAGCCCATGAGATCCTGCTGCTCCAAAAGAAAGCCATGAGGAGCACTACAAGGAGCACTGCCGCCCTATATTCATCCGACATAGGGTGCTCACTGTATTCAGCCAGTATATCCTCGATATCCTTGTACTCCTCAAGGACAAGGTGGAACTCTTTGGCAGGAGGGAGGAGGTCCACACCCACAATACTCGCAGAGCCCTATACCTCGACATGCCTCGGTGCCGAATTGCGCAGACGATGAGGAGTTACCCACGTTCGGCAATTAGGGTATACAACACCTTGCCCAAGCGAGTGCGTGACATGGACCTGCCAGACTTTAAGCAAGCGATTCGTGATGGACTGCTGAATAGGCCATTGTACGCCTGGCCGCGGCCTGGAGTTAAAGGTGGCCGTGACTCAAGTAAGTAAGTTAGTAAGTATTCAACCATTACAATTTATTAAATCAATGAAAACAACTGGTCGAGAATAGTTATACATATAAGTTTACAACAAATAAGCCTTTGTTTTTTTATTTCGTTGCCTGTGTTTTCATGAACAGCTGGGTTCCCAGCAGAACTGTTTTTATTTGTCTTACTGCTTACTGTCATTTCATGCCCTCAGTCCAGTCCCAGTCCTTCTCTTCAGTTTTAGTTTAGTTCCAATGGTTGGTAGCCTGCCTAAGGGGTTATCATCATTTTCATTTAGTCATAGGCTACATACAATAAAAACGCATCTTTCCGTCTTCCGTGTTCGTTTCGTTTCGTTTTCCTACTGTCAGTCAGTTGGAGTTGTCAGTAGTCAGTGCAGTCGCAGTTCGCAGTTCGCAGTCCGCAGTTCGCAGTCCGCAGTGTCAGTGTCAGTTTGTTTGTCGTCGGTTGAAGGAGTGTCCAGTGTCGTCAAGAGTAAATATGGCTTCTGCAAAAAAGAAATTAGATGAATATCATTTGAAGATACTACGACAGTTAGTTACTATGCCAGCGAATAAGGAATGTTTTGACTGTCATCAAAGAGGGCCTACATATGTTAATGTAACCATAGGCTCTTTTGTGTGTACGACGTGCTCTGGAATGCTGTAAGTGATTTTTAAATAGTCTAGCCTCTTTTGAAAGTTGGATGACTGTTACTGTTAACTCAGACCAGATTTAGGCTATTCCTAGGTACAAGTGAAAGGTTTTGTAGTCGTTGGAAGTTTTCACCATTTACTAAGCTACCCCAGTGTTTAAAATAATCAGTCATTTTTAATTTGTTTGTGCTGGAACTTTGCCAAGTAACCTTGGATGTCACTGGGCATAACTTATTCTTAGTTGATAATAATACATAGGTAATGTTAGGTAGCCTAAACCTAGCTTATTGAGTTTTTACTCTTTGACCTAAAGTACCATCATAAATTTTACTGAAGCATTGTAATTTGTGAAGAAACTAAACTTATGGGTTCTCTATCTTAAGTAGGCTATAAACCAAATTTTACATTAGGCTACTAAGCAAGTGATATACAAATCTGAATAGCCCAGGCCTAGATTAAGTTAAATTATGTAACTCAAACCATTAAGCCCATATTGTATGTTTTCGATAGGAATACACCTTTGTCTACAAACCAAACAAAATTAAGTAAACTTAGGCCTATAACTTAGGCTATGTGATATTATATAAATCATGGTTGCGAACCATTGCTGCCTTGTAGCTTACTAACTTAGGGTACACTTCCATATCTGTTGGCACAAACAACCGAATGAGTAATATTGATTATTCGATTGTTTAATTTGATATAAGTTATCGTTTGGTTAGTTAGGTCAGGTTAACCTTAAATAACTAACCTAACGATATATCGAACAATTAATATATCGATCGATATTTTCATTCGGTTGTTTGTGCCAACAGATATATGGAAGTTTACCCCTAACTTACTTGTGTTAGGTCTGCCAAGTTTTTCAAACCAAAAAAGGCAGAAGGATAGAGACAAGAACACCTACGGTAACCTAAATGATTCCCTCTAAGTTGGGACTGACGTTTCTTTGTTTTAAACCTACCTAAGGCGGTCACATTTTTGAACCTGTCAGCAATCTAGGCAAAACTAATAGTAGCGCCCCTTTGCAATAGGTAGGCCTATACAATATATATAACAGAGTGTCCACCGACTGGGAAATCCGGGAATCATGTACGTGAGTTTTTATTAACCTGGAATTATTAAGAAAAATTACTAAGTTGACATTTTCACTAAACTTTGAGGCTGCACTTTACTTGACGTCCTACACTCATTCGAATGAAAATATCTATCGATATATCGATTAATCGATTGCTTCATTCGATATATCGTTTGGTTAGTTAGGTAAGGTTAACTTAACCTAACTAACCAAACGATATATCGAATGAAAATATCGAATCGAAAAAAAAAAACAATCGAATGAGTGTAGGACGTCAAGTAAAGTGCAGCCAACTTTGATTCCAATAATGTGCATTAAGACATATTTTGTATTGAGCAACATTTCTCAAAATAGCTTTTTCAGTTTTGCAATTGTGTTTCCAGGAATATAAAATGTGGGTGTGATACTTTGTTATTTCTCTTTATGACCCATTGTGCCCCGGGCACTATGTGACCCACTGTACCCCAGAAAGGGGTAGTGGGTCTAGATGTAATGTTAAAAAAAAAGCTGCGAGGGATGATCAGAATTTTACTGCAATTGCGCAAGACGACGAGAATGTCCAAAAGACCGCGGGATGTTCATCATGATGCGATCATGGAAGACGATAATTAAATGGCTACTTAAGCTAGCGGCATCTTTGATTGTTGATATGGATAGATTGCAAATCACTTTCACTACCCCACATAATAGGCTAATAATTACAGTAAATTTAAGCTAGGCCTATGTCTATGTAAACTTTTAAAGTTCCTTTAAAAGAAAACTTGTTTTACAAAAAAAATCTTTCTTGAAACGTGGGTTGTGGTAGGCCTAAAATAAGCTTAACTTATGAGAAAAACAAAATCAACTTTTTCTTCAGCCTGGTATTGTTGGCCTATCCACTCCTAAGGTAAAAAAGTGCTCAACCATTAGTGCACTACGCCCCATTAAGTTTATCTAATTGCCAAAAAAAAAGGACAGTAGGCCTAGTGGTAGGCACACCACAACGACTTGGTAACTAAGTAAGTACTACACTGAACTCACTGCCAGAGTTCCCTTGCACCGACACAACCTTAACAGGCCAATTCTAAACGGACTGCTTCCATACCTTTCTACCCTCACGAGCCCTAAGTCCTTCTCCCTGACTGTTTTGTAACACATCATCACGTTTAACTGGCCATGTTTTGCTACAATTAGGCCTAGATGGCAAAAGCTGTTATCTTTGCTTCAAATCAAGTGCTACTATTTGTTGCAATTTGTCTGGGGTTTGGACGTTAGAAGTCTGTCATAAGTTAAAACTATTTTACTGACATGTCAGTTTATTTAACCAAATCTTTGCCATGTGGTTCCGGTCTTGGTTTAGAGCCTAGTTTCCTGAACTGCATTACTAACAACTTCTATTTGGCAACCATTCTATTATTTTCCTTATTTATTATCTGCCTTTACCCATCCTCAAATTAAAACATTGTAGATAGGCAATTGCTGATTGCCTCAAGCAGCTTTTAAAGCCCTCCAAACACCAGGCTTTCATGTTGTTGTGTGTGTATCAGTTGTTTAGCTCGTGCGCGCAAGAAAATTGGGTTTTTTTTGGGGGGGGGGGGGGTGTCAAAAAATATTAAGAAAAAAACTTGGCACCTAATTGTATTTGAATGCGATCGCCGTAAACTTCTGATAATCCGCGGTGTAGACATTGTAATCGTCTTCCGATTTATATATATACTAGCCACCATACCCACGCTTCGCAACGGGAAGTGAACATTAATATTCCATAGACCTGCTGTATGTAGATAAACTTTTAGTAATCCACTTAAAGTATTGACTTAAAATATTAACTGGCTACTTTCGTTTCCCAGAAATTAAATATTTTATTTTGGGAAATAAACCATTCAAATTCAATAGGCTTTTATATACATTTTGGGAAAAAGAAAGTCAATAAGTTAATGAATTAAAAACATAAACACAACTGTAAACAATCCTACTATGACAGTTCTAATTTTGTATCACAGCTACTTAGTTGAAATTAGCAACTGTTGTCATAAATTTAGACAATTAATAGTGCTGCACCCTGTTGGTACATTTTGTAACCTTTTAATGCTATAGATCATCACAGAATCAAATTGTAGTTGAACAGCTGTTAAGATTCTTTAATTCCATTTAAATATGAGTACTCATAAGGTTAACGTGGGAAACTCCAGAGCCACTGGGGCGGAGCCCTTTTGACGGATCTGCACCAAACTTCACACAAACCCTCCTTGAATAATGCTTAATAATTCCTGAAAGTGTCATTGCAATCTGTCAAGCGGTTTCGGAGTCCATAACGTTCAAATATATATATATACAAACTTCCTTTTTTATAAATATAGATATACTAGCAGAGCACCCGTCCTTCGTACGGGGTTGGCATATAAGTATAAAATGCTTATTGCAGTTATACTCAAGCTGGGGCGATGTCTACTTGTACCGGCGTCTAGTTGTACCTGCTGCATTTTGGTGACAGGCGTCTAGTTGAACCCCGTCCAAAGCTGTAGAGACAACTTGACGATGGTGCGGACGTCTAGTTGTCTCTACGTCTAGTTGTCTCTACGTCTAGTTGTACCTCTTAAAAATCTACTGGTACAACTAGTCGGGAACGTCACCGTCTACTTGTACCTCATACGTCTGCGTCTACTTGTACCTACGACTACTTGTACCTACGACTACTTGTACCTACGACTACTTGTACCTACGACTACTTGTACCTACGACTAGTTGTACCTACGCCTACTTGTACCTACGTCTAGTTGTACCTGCGGCTAGTTGTATCTCCCCTTCAACTTGTCACCGGTTTAAGAGATTTATTTTATTTCTTTAAAAATCATACAATCTTACAACAATTTATTATAAACAACTTGCTACAAAAGCCAGGAAAATTTGGCTTGTCTGCAGCTCATTGAGAAACCCCTGTTCTTGACAACAACGTACTTGTGTCCCTTTGTCAGTCCTTATCCATATTACACTTTGGTTTTCCTTATTTCTTGTCAAGATCTGCTATCATTGTTTTTTCCACTTAAACTCTACCTTTCTATAGAAAACTAACATTAACTAGCTTAAACAACAACTTTAAACAATTATCTTAAATAAATAAATTCAGAGTTTACAAAAACAAGTAATTGAGTATAATGAAGTGTTTTTGTACGGTATTAGTCACGGAGAATATTACAACAAGTTCAAATTAAAAATGTATATGTTATTCTTATGGATATTACGTAAACTGGCGTAGTTTGGTAGTTGATGCATATACTTTGACAAATTAGTTTATTTCACACTTAACTACTAACTTTTCTCAGAAAAACATCTTAATTACCTTCTACGCAAACGTAATTAAAGCTCAGTATTGAAATACCATTTAAAAAAATAACCCAGATATGACTTTTTTGTGCTTGCTTATTAGTTCTTAGTAAAACTAATCTTGGTTTAGTTGCAGACTACATAGCCAGTGTACACATACCTAGCTCAGTATAAAATTTAGTTAAGTGTAGTCCGTAATCCGGACGCATACGAAGTTGAAGCTTTTGCTTTGGTATTAACAGTCAAGTAAAATAAATAAATAATTAAAATAAATAAATAATTAAATAATCTTATAAATTAAAGAAAATGGGTTATTCGTTTGGCTCTGCTACCCGACCATTTTTATTATTGAGGTCTCAAATTAAAGGTATGCACGCACAGATTTGCCATCAAGCATCGGCGTATATTTTTCTATTATCTCACTCGGCTTATACGTAAACGAAATTGCTCCCCATGTTTTTCTTATGTTTTACAATTTAATTTTTGAGTTGTTCTTATTCTTATAACGTAGTTTTCTAAAGTTATCTGTTGTGGCTGCCTAGAAATAATCGGACGTTTGTTTCTCCTTTGAAAATGTATTGATAATTATAGTAGTGGTAGTTAATTATGTTACAAGACTATGACAAAT